CCGGGTTCGATCCTCAGCACCACATACCAACAAAGATGTTGTGTCCGCCGAGAACTAAAAAATAAATATTAAAAAATTCTCTCTCTCTCTCTCTCTCTCCCCTCTCTCACTCTCTCTTTAAAAAAAAAAAAAATACAAATAACTAGGCTGGGGATGTAGCTCAGTTGGTAGAGTGCTTGCCTGGAATGCACAAGGCCATGGGTTCAATCCCCAGAACCACCAAAAAAAAAAAAAAAAAAAAGAAGAAGAATACAAATAACAGTCCCATGCAGTGGTGCACGCCTGTAATACCATCAACTAACGAGGGTGAGACAGGAGTATTGCAAGTTTGAGGTTAACCTCAGCAACTTAATGAGGCCTAAGCAACTTAGAGAGAACCTGTCTCAAACAATAAAAAGGGCTGGGAATGTGACTCAGTAGTTAACCACCCTGGCATTCCATCCTTAGTACCCACCCCACAAAATAAAATAAAATTGCTGCCGAGTATGTAGGGGAAAATATTCACTTATATATTGTTGGTAGGGTTGTAAATTAGTACAACCATTCTGGAAAGCAGTATGAATATTCCCCAAAAGACGGGAATGGAACCGCCATATGACCCAGCTATCCCACTCCTCGATATTTATCCAAAAGAACTAAAATCAGCATACATAGCAATACAGCCCACATCAATGTTTATAGCAGCACAATTCACAACAGGCAAGTTATGGAACCAGCTCAGATGCCCATCAACAAATGAACAGAAAATGTGGTATATATATATACAATGGACCCAGTAGCAAGAAGAACAAAATTATGGCATTTGCTGGTAAATGGATGGAACTGGAGGATATCATGCTAAGTAAAATAAGCCAGACTCAGAAAATGAAGAGTTGAATGTTTTCTCTCATATACAGAAGTTAGAGAAAGACAGAGAAACAGGAATTTTAAAAAAGGATCTCACAAAAATAGAAAGGAGACCAATAGATTAGAGGAAGGGGATGGAGAGGGAGGGAGGAAGAAAGGACATGAGGAAGTACAGGGGAATGAAAACTATCAAATTATGCTATGTTCATATAAAAATAGCACATGAATATATTCATATATAAATGATAATGCATTAATTAAAATAATAATACTAATAGAAAGGAGATCAATAGAGTATAGCAAGTGGACGGAAGAGGGAGGAGAGGAGGGAGAGAGAAGGTACTGGGAAATTAGATGGATCAAATTGTTATGTGCATATATGAATATGGCATAACAAATCCCATCATAATGTATAATTATAATGCTTCAATGAAAATTTTTTAAAAATAAGGCTCCGGGTGCAACTCAGTGGTAGAGCACCTGCCTAGCATGTATGAGACTCTGGTTTCACTCCACAGAAAATAGTTAACAATAACAAAGAAGAGGGGCTGGGGTTGTGGCTCAGTGGTAGAGCCCTTGGCCAGCACATGTGAGGCACTGGATTTGATCCTCAGCATCACATAGAAATAAATACACAAAATAAAGATATTGTGTCCACCTACAACTAAATATATATAATATATTACATATATATATATATATATATATATAAAAGAAAAAAGTGAAAAAGTAAGAGTTCTCCATAGATTTTTTTGTACTCTATTCTATTTTTTTTAACTGTTTCTAATTTTTTYTTTTTYTTTTYTTTYTTTTYTTTTTTTTTTTTTTTTTTTKGTGATTGAATCCAGCAGTTCTCTACCACTGAGCTACATCCCCAGCCCTTTGTTTATTTTTGAGACAGGGTCTCACTAAATTGCTTAGGGTCTCACTAACTTGCCCAGGTTGGCATTGAACTTGCGATCTTCCTTCCACAACCTCCCGAGTAGCTGGAATTACAGATATATACCCCACCCACCAGGCTATCTTTATTTTTTTAATTTACCATTTTTAAATTTAAATTTAAATTGATTGATTGATTGATAGCAGTGCTGGGGATTAAACCCAGGGCCTTGTGCATGCTAGGCAAGTAAAGCTGATTTCAAAAGTCATTTCAGAGAAGAAGCTATTGCTGATGTACTTGTAATGAAGGAAAAGGAACATGTGTTGGGAGAAGGCCAAGTGTCCTGACTGAGAAACCCAGAGGGAAGTACTAAAAGAGCTCATTGACAGGAACTGAAATTGGTTGCCTCTGGGTAGGGAAATAGTGAGGGACAGATGGCACTTTTTATTTTTTACTTGTAAATGGGTACAGTGCATTTATTTGTTTTTTTTTATGTGGCGCTGAGAATCGAACCCAGTACCTCCCACATACTAGGCAAGTGCTCTACAACTGAGCCACAACCACAGCCCTGGTGGCACTTTTTGAAAGGAGCCTCACTGAACAATCTGCCTGTTTAAACTACATGTATGTATGACCAACCAAAAAGGAGACTCTTGCCAGGCTGCCTGAGCCTTAGGTGACCTCAAGACTAGCTGAAGGTGCAGGCCTCTATCTGCTTTCCTTTGCCCCAGGACTATATTCATGCCAGCCCAGTGAGAGGGTGCCCTGCTGGGGACCCTGCCTTCTCCCATGCAGGTTAGATAGAACAGGACAATCATCCTCAGACTTTCATCATTGACTGCAGCCATTCAGCATATGCGCACACCCACTTATTTTTTTAATATATTTTTTAGTTGTAGTTGGACACAATACCTTTATTTATTTATTTATTTCTATGTGGTGCTGAGGATCAAACCCAATGCCTCACGCATGCTAGGCAAGTGTTGTACCACTAAGCCACAACCCCAGCCCCACTTGTTTTTATTTGTTTGTGCCCACTTAATCCCATCCTCTGATCCATTGCTCCTTCCCCCATAGGCACCTCTCCCAAGTGTTTGAATGACAGGAGTTCTCATTCTGCTCCTCACCAGTCCCTGTGACATCCATTCATCATGGCTATACGCACAACTCGTTCATCCCTTCCACTGCCACATGGGATTGGCTACCTGCAATTGCATAGCCCCTGGGCCCAATTGGGGTGCTTCTTCCTACTTCAGGATGTAGCCTCTCAGCAGCTTTGTGTTCCTCCTTCCTTTGGGCACCTGGGTCTTGGCCCCAGGCTCTCCTGGCTTCCCTGCATCCACTCCTGTCTACACGGGCCCCTGTTCCCTGAGCAGGTCTGGGTCTTTCCACCTCCATGTCCACAGTGGGGCCACTTGCAGTTTGGTGAGTGAAGGAAGGGCTCTGATCTTGGGAAACCAGTGGATAGTGAAGGACAGGCCACACTTAAGTCATTGAATTCATACTTTTGAGAAGGGGAACCGGGGAGCAGGAAGCTGAGTGGTCACGTTGACACAGCTGGGCAGTGGCCTACAAGGACTTGAGCCTTGCTTTCTGTTATTAGGGGACCAAGGTCCTGAATCTCTTTGCCAGTTAAGAGGTGTCTATATGATGAGGAGATTTGTCTTCTTGATACTTAATCTCCAGAGGCCACCCAAGGCCAGTACGCGAGGGTGGGGGTGCTGATGGAGAGGTGCACCTGAGGAAAGGAAGGAAGTCCTTGGAGGTGGGGTGTCAGCATTCTGTAACTGATTTGCCAAGGGTTCCAAAAAATACATAAATATGCATGTGGGATATGTGAGTGTGACTGTCATGTGTGTGTGTTCAGTGTGTACTGTGTGCCTTGTGTGGTATGTGTGTATGTGGGTGTGTGCACATGTGAGTTGCATGGCATGTGTACACGTTTTGTGAATGTGTGGTGATCTACGGGTGGGGGTGAGTGCATGTGCATCTTTGCCTATTTGCAAAGTGCACACCCCCCACATGTCCTCTATCCGTTGGGGCTGGGGGCGGGGGAGCTGGAACACCACAACAGTCACCAGGCAGGAAGAGGAGGCCTTGGCTGTTGGCAAGGTCCCTGGACCAGGGCCTGGTCCATGTCCATGAGAGGCCAGTTTTGGTCTCCAGCTTTGCAGGTCATTGGAGAGGACAAACAGGAAAAAAGGAGCCTGCCCTGGGCGGGTGGACAGGCTGTGGCCAGGGCTGGGCTGGGTAGGCTGACATCTGGAAAGAGTGGGAGCCATGAGCAGAGGGGAAGCTGATGAGCTGCAGGGGCCTGGCTACAGAGGAGGAGGGAAGGAGGGAGGATCCAAAGACCTTGGCATGGAAAGTCCCCTCTCAGACCTCTCCACATCGAAACCTGCACCCCAGTGGCTGTGGTGTATGCATAAATGTGCATATGAATTCATGTGTGTATCTGTTACACACTGTCTGGTGGGTGTGTGGATGTCATATACATGATTGTGTGTGTGTGAGTGTACGTGTGGAAGAGAGAAGAAGCAAGAGGAACACAGGTAACAGCATGGAGGCCCCATTGGAAGACCCCTCCTTCTACAGCAGGTAGCTACAGGAAGTGGGTGGGGTGTCCCTGGCTCCCACAGGCCCCTGGGGAGGAAGCTGGATATTGTAGGGGCACATTAAGCCTGGACTTGGCCCCTACCCCACCCCCTCCCTTCCTGTCCCTCCTCTTGAGCCAGCCCTAATTGACAAGGAGGGGACTGTGTATGCATGGGGGGGCACCCTCAGTGTAGTGGGAATTCCCTTGGCTTTTACCCCTTCCTCACTGGGGCCAAATAGGAACAGGAGCTGGCTTGGGGAAAAGGAGTGAGGACCTGCCATCTCCAATCTCAGTTTACCCATTCAGGAGGTGAGGTGCTACATGGGTGATCCCTCACAGCACTACCAGATCAGAAGTTCCAGGAAGGGGGGCCCTGTGGGGTGGGAGCAGGTGGGATGAATGGAGGTTGCCACTAGGCCAAGTGGGGGACTGGATGAGGCAGCCTCGGGGGCCTTGAGGAGTGGGGGAAGGAGCCCTGGGGATGGATCTGGGAAGCCTGAGGGCAGGAAGGGAAACTGGAGGCCAGGAACCTACTTCCTGGTGAATGGGAGGAGGGAAGCGGGAGGCCAGGGGAGGCATGTGGGGGAGGAAAAGGGGGAGGAAGTCCTCTCCTGGGCAGGTCACTCCCAGAGGCTGGGTCTGGGCGGGGCAGGCGATGGAGAACAGATCTGAGCGCCTGGGCCACCTTCACGCTGCTGCCCAGCTGCCCAGGAGCCCGGGAGCCCAGCCAGGTAAGGGGTTGTGAAGGGGCAGCATACCTAGTCCCTCCTGCCTAGTCTCTAGCCCTCAAATGGTAAACTCTCTAGGCCTCTGCCAGGGCAGGAGGATTTATGAATCTGCTTGGATGCCCACTCCCCAATCCAGGTCTCAGGGGCTGCCTGGGTGTATCCTGGGCTGTTTGTTCTGTGTGACTGCCTCACATGCACGCTCTCTCTCTCCCTCCCTCTTTCTCTGGGGGGAGTGCTGGGTTCTGAACTCAGTGGTGCTCTACTACTGAGCTACATCCCCAGTCCCCAGCCTTTTTAACTTTTTTTTTTTTTTAATTTTTGACTCGGGGTCTCACTAAGTTTCTGAGGCTGGCCTGGAATTTGCAATCTTCCTGCTTCGGCCTTCAGAGTCACTGGGATGACAGACATGTGTTTCAACACCTAGCTGACTGCCTCTCTCTTATCTTCCTGCCCAGGAGTGCGCACAGGCCAGACCCCTATCCCAGGCACCAACACACTGACAGGCATCGGCTATCCTGACACCTCTCTAAGGACTTCTGTACAGTTAACCTGGGCATCAGGGCTGGCCCCTCAAGTGGAGGCAGAGTTTGCCCTGTCTCCAAAGACTTAGGACACCTGCGGTGGCCCCACCATGCTGCTGGCCTCCACCACCTCCGGTAAGGCTGGGCCCCTGCACACCCCCACAGGGATGAGTTGGGTGGGTTTGATAAAACCAAGAAGCCCCTCTTTCTAAAGAGCTCCTTTGCTGTCTCTTTGGGGCAGGTGGGAAGAAATGCCTCAGGGGAGGAGGAGAGGGAGAGGAGGGCAGGTCATACATATCCCTGGGCTGAGGCTGCCCTTCCCTCGGGACCACATGTGTACAACTCCCCACAGAAGAGGCTTCCTTGGAGGAGTTCCCTCTGCTGGGAGCCAAAAAGTGGGCAGTAGGGGAGGTCCAGGGTGCCAGCTGCCCAGGCCACCAGCTCTAGCATCTGGTGGAAATTTCCTTGGCCTGAGTTCCCTACATGGCACCCTTTCTAACTTGGCCTCTCCTCCCACCCTTGCCCAGCTGTGCCTGGGCCCCTCTCTCCACTTAGCCCGCCAAGCAACGGCAGCCGGGAGGAGTCATTGGACACCAGGGACCCATTGCTAGCCCGGGCAGAACTGGCCCTACTTTCCACAGTCTTTGTGGCTGTGGCCTTGAGCAATGGCTTGGTACTGGGGGCCCTAGTACGACGTGGCCGGCGCGGCCGCTGGGCACCCATGCACGTCTTCATTGGCCACTTGTGCCTAGCAGACCTGGCTGTGGCTCTATTTCAAGTGCTGCCCCAGCTGGCTTGGGATGCCACCGACCGCTTCCGTGGGCCTGATGCCCTGTGTCGGGCCGTCAAGTACCTGCAGATGGTGGGCATGTATGCTTCCTCCTACATGATCCTGGCCATGACGCTAGACCGCCACCGCGCCATCTGCCGCCCCATGCTGGCATACCGCCATGGAGGTGGGGCTCGCTGGAACCGGCCAGTGCTGGTGGCCTGGGCCTTCTCGCTTCTTCTCAGCCTGCCTCAGCTATTCATCTTTGCCCAGCGTGATGTGGGAGATGGCAGCGGGGTCTTCGACTGCTGGGCCCGCTTTGCAGAGCCCTGGGGCCTTCGTGCCTATGTCACCTGGATTGCCCTGATGGTGTTTGTGGCACCTGCCCTGGGTATTGCTGCCTGCCAGGTTCTCATCTTCCGGGAGATTCATGCCAGTCTGGTGCCAGGGCCATCAGAAAGGGCTGGGGGGCGCCACAGAAGGCACCGGACAGGCAGTCCCAGAGAGGGAGCCCGGGTGTCAGCAGCCATGGCCAAGACTGTGAGGATGACACTGGTGATTGTGATCGTCTACGTGCTATGCTGGGCACCCTTCTTCCTTGTGCAGCTGTGGGCAGCATGGGACCCAGAGGCACCTCTGGAAGGTAGGTGTAGCTGTGGCTAGGGCTCTGGGGGCTGCTTGAACTTGGTCCTCTACTCATACCCACACCTGACAGTGGGCCACAAGCATGTGCTTGTGCGCACTGGTAGCCTTTAGCAGGTACACAGGATCCCACCCCTCCCAGACCCCTGAGCCCCAACCTGGACTCTGCCTCCACAGGGCCCCCCTTCGTGCTGCTCATGTTGCTGGCCAGCCTCAACAGCTGTACCAACCCCTGGATCTATGCTTCCTTCAGCAGCAGCGTCTCCTCAGAGCTGCGCAGCTTGCTCTGCTGTGCTCGGGTGCAGGCCCCACCCAGCCTGGGGCCCCAAGACGAGTCCTGTGCCACTGCCAGCTCCTCCCTGGCCAAGGATACTTTCTCCTGAGGAGCCAGTGGGCACTTTCCTTCCAAAAGCTCCACGAAGCTCAGCTGCCTCTGGGGCTGGCTCCTCTAGGACTCAGTGTATACAAAGAGGCTTTCAGGCTCCAAGACTGTGAGAGTCCCTTACGTTAGCTCCTTGTTCCAGGCATGGGGAGAGACTAGATAGGGCAGAGGATCCCATGCCTGGGGGTGGCAGGTGACCTGTGCCCTGGAAAGTGCCCTCCAGGTAACACAGAGGTCCCAAGGAGCCAAAGAGGAAGGAGCAGGGTGGGGCCAGTGTACCTTCCTGTCTGTATCTCTCTAGTCCTTCCCTAATAAAAGTTGGCTATTTTCCACATGGTGAGGGAGTCTTCTTGCATTAGGGTAACAGTGGATGTGGAGGCAGAAACAGACATACAAAGACCCTCAACACATGCATGGGTCTGGAACCCACAATGTAAGCAACCAAGCCTTCATAGGTACAGGTCCTCAAGAGATACAGCCCCCTGAATGGACAGCTCCGTGCCAGGGCACCCACAGCAGAAGCTATTCCCTGCCAGTGGAGGTGCTGGGGCTGGCCTTGTACCAACCTGCCCAGCCCCCAGAGACAGAGAGCTGGCTCCATCAAGGTATCAATGCACAGGTCTTTATGAATCACTGCCAACACCTGCCACCCAAAGCCACTGACGAGTGCTCCCAGCAAAGCCGCGGAGGGGCTTGCCCCCAGCCTCCTTCCCTGGCTGCCTCCCTAAGGGCCCTTAGCCAGGGATGAGAAGAAGCAAAGGACCTAGGGAGAATGGTGGACTTGCTGGAAGCCACTTGGAGTAAGGCAGGACCTGCACTGGTTCCACCAGAGCATGTCAGTGTGGCTTGAGGGCTGAATCTAGGCCCTGGGGATGGGAGGCAGAGGGTGAAGCTGGGGCCCCAGACCCACGGGAGAAACCCTTGTTCCTGCCGAGGCGGCTACAGGCCAGAGGCTTTGGGCTTCGGGGCCCAGGGCTGGTGGAGGCAGGAGCTGCTGGCCCAAGGCCCTGGCGGACAGCAGCCTTCCCCAAGAGCTCCTTAAACACGGAGTCCATGTTCTGTGCCACAGCCTGGCAGAGAGGAAAGGAAGGGAAAGCATCCAGTGAGGGCTCCCCCAGAAAAGGCTCCCCGATTCCCAGCCTGTGCCTGAGCTCCTCCTACCCTGCCACTGGGCCCCTCCCCTCCCAGTGGGGCTCCCTGCCACCCCTCCTTCCCTGGCCTCCACCACTCCACACTGGTTTCCCTTCTACCATTTTGAGTGTCTCTGTCACAGCCTCCTCTGGGGACAGTAATTCCTTGATCTGGCCCTGTGCTCCCTCATCTTCTCACCCCCACTCTTCCCAGATGAGATCACAGGCCCTGTCCATGGCCTCTGGGGCCACTAACATAATGGAAACTCCCAGCTCAGTGTCCTTCCCTGGGACTTCCTAGCTGCTCTGCTCGAGCCAGCCCCTGTCCCTGCCACCAGGCTCCTTATTCTGCAGATCCACCTAGCCTGTCCTGGGTTCCTAAGGCCCAGGAGCTGGGTCACACCTGAGATGCCTGCATATTCCTTTACTGTCTCCTCCTTGGGCTCAGTGACTGTCCCCAGGGCTTCCCTGCCCACAGATGTTCACAGGGCCCATCTTTCAGAACAAGTGAACAGGGGTAGGTGTTCCCAAGGTTGTGCTGCTAGCCAGGACCCTTTCTGCCTCTCTATCCCTTTCATCTTCCGTGGTGTGCCAAACACCTTCCATGTCACTGTTTGTCACCTAGCCTGGCTCTAGATGCCAGCCTTGAAGCCTGTCCAAGAGCCTCTCGCATATGCCAGCTTAGATAGCTTATCCCTGCTGCATCCCTGTTCAAGAATGAGCCCCATGACCCAGTCAGGTCCAGGGTCTTCTGCCCCTCTCATCTCTGCCTCTGGGCCTTTGTCCTTCCCATTCCCATCTCCATCCCCTTTGCCCTCCTGCCCCTTTCTGGGTTTTGTCTTAGGCTCTTGTCTGGCCAAAGAAAGCAGAAATGGAGCCTCACCTCAAGAGGGAGGAATTGGGTTCCTAAGGGGAGGCAGTGACCTTGCAGGAGAGGGGCTGCCCCACCTGCCACCTAACTCTCACCTTATCCACCTCCACATGTCGCTCTGGGGAGGTTGGGACCAAGCAGTGTCGTTTGTGTCCAGAGGGGTCCACAGCCTCAGGTGGGGTGCCCATCTCTGACCTGCAGGGCAAAGAGAGTAAGCCTAGTGGAGGGCCTGGGAAGTCCCCAAGCCAAGGTGGCAGTTGCTCTTCCCACCCTGGGCTGTGGCCAAGGAAAGGGGTGGGTCCCAGTGCTCCCCAAGCTCCTCTATAGTCTCTCCCTGTCAAAGCCAGCCAGACTTTATTCTGTGCTTCTTAGTGACCCTCATCTGACAACTCCCCTGCTCCCAGGTAGCCAAAACTTGAGCCCAGCCCCCCTGGCCTGGCATGGTGAGGGCAGCCTCTGGCCACCATGTCTGCTGCCTTGGGCAAGCAGGACCCTCAGAAGGGTCTTGCTAAGGGCTGTCTTCTACTTTCTCACCAATGGGTAAACTCCAAGACCAGGAGGCCCTGGACCTACCACCTGCTTCTCAGCCCTGGGCAGGAAAGAGATGGGCCTATATGAGTGCTCCTTCCTAGCTGGGGTCCCAGCCAAAAGTGGGCACAAATGTTCATGGTTAGGCCCAACCCGGATTTACAAAATTTGGCTCAGAGAAGAGAGAAGACAGCAATCCAGCCTGTCCTAAGTTCCTGAGGCCTAGGATCTGGGTCACGCCTGAGATGCCTGCATATTCCTGCACTGTCTCCTTAAGAACAAGTGTCTACTTCCTGAGAAAGCTGGGTGGAGAAGGTGTGGATACCCCCAGTTCAGGCCAGGCTGAGAGGGCAACCTTGAGCACCAGGCCCAGGAGGGCCAAGGCTGAAATCATGGGACCCTTCCTGAGGCCGCAGTTCACTCACCCCTCAGGCAGCGTGATGTACTTGTGGGGAATGAGTCCCCGCACGCCAGCATGCTCCCCCCGCCACCAATCACTTGAGGCCCGTGCATGCAGCCGCAGAATATCCCCTCGCTGAAAGGTCAGCTCCTGGGCCGTGCGGCCTGTGTAGGTGAAGCAGGCCACGGCCTCCACAACCCCCTCCAGGTCTGGGGACAAGAGACAGACAGTATGAGTGGGAATGAAGTGGGCGCCCAGAGTGGGGACAGGGTGGGGCCTCACTTCCTCACAGAGTAGAGAAGTGAGCTTCTCCACTCACCATCCTCTTGAGCTGAGGTCCCAGCTTCCAGCTCTGGCTCGTTCTCCCCCACAGGGATCTCCAGCAAGGCATCCCTGAGGTTCAGAGCAGAGCAAGGCAGATGAGGGGGCTGTCCTCCACTGAACCCCCCAGGCAGCACCAAGAGCATACCCCAGGCAGCTGGCCGAAGGTGGCGCCATGCACTTCTCATAGACAGGGCCTGGCAGTGTGGCCAGGGCTGGGAAAACCTGTGCAGGCTGCAGGATGAGTGTCTGCACCAGCTGGTTCACCCGGCCCTGCAAGGCCACTGGGTCCTGTCCAGCAGGCACGGGCAGCAGCGTCGGCCCAAAGCACACAGCCAGGTTGTAGGGGTCCATCATGTTCTCATCGCTGTACTGGGCCAGGCTGGAGGGGACATGCAGGTCACAGGCAGGAGCTCCATGTTGATGTCCCCTCCACCCCCACCCCCAGCTTGCTCCCCAGAGGCACTCACTGGTTGAGGAAGGTGAAAAGGTAGCGCAGAACCACCAGCACGGGGCCAGGCAGCCGGGCCAGCAGGCGGCTCACAGGCTCCACCCGCTCAGCCACAGCCTCCAGCTCTGTGGCCAAGGCCACCCCCAAGAGAGAGCTGAGTGAGTGGGGCCGCAGCCACTAGCAGGTGGCCCTCCCATCTGGCCACCCTCAGGCCCCGGCCTCACCTGCAGAAGCCAACAGCTCATTGAACAGGTCTGGGGGGAAGAGTGGGGGCTCCAGGCTCCGGAAGTAGAGCTTCAGCACCCCGGCCACTGAGTCCAGGTCATGGGCAGTGCAGCCTTCTACCAGAGGGTCCTCTCCTGAGGAGGGACAGGAAACAGGGCACAGTGAGGAGGCCACCTGCACCTGCTGAGCCCCCTCTGCCCCCCTGGCCTGCCTTCCCCACCTCTCTCGAAGGCATCCCGGATCTCTGAGATCCGGGGCTGGGCACCTGATACTCGGAAGATGCCCTCATGCTGTAGACCTGTGGAGGACAAGGACCTGGTGGGCAGAGTCCCTCCCAGCTTCAGGACTGTCGCCCTGTATGTGAGGTTCCAGGTGCCGGGCGCCAGGCCGCAGGAGGGGCTGGGGTGTGCTTACCATTGAGGTTAATGAAGCGGATACAGCTCTCTACCACCAGGGGAACAGGCTGGCCTGAGCTCTGGGGACAGAGGGTATTATACTCAAGACCCACCTTGGCATTCCACCTTTCTGTCTCTCTCTATTAAGTTTGTTACAGTCACTACTAAGTGTCTGATATTTCTGATGCTATTTTAGGCAGTACTTTGCATTTTATTTGCAAATTATTTGTTGCTGGAATGTCAAAATGCAATCAAAATCTGGACGTTGACCTTGAATCAAGTAACACTGCACAACTCAAACTGGCTCATTTAAACAGTCTGATTCTTTTGAATTCTCTATGTACATAATCACATCATTGCGAATGATAGTGTTCCTTCTCTTTCTTCTTTTGTTTTTTGTTTTTTCTTTTTCTTCTGTACTAGGGATTGAACCCAAAGATGCTCTACCACTGAGCTCTAACCCCAACTTTTTTTATTTTTTGACACTGGGTCTCACTAAATTTCCCAGCTGGCCTCAAACTTGCCATCCTCCTGCCTGATCCTCCCAAGTCACTAGGATTCTAGTCATGCCCACAAAACTCAGCATGCTCTGTACCCACAAGCTCTTTCTTCTTTTGGGATCTCTCTTGCTTCCTCTATTTCACTATCGAGGAACCCCCCCCCCATAGCCAAGGGGCCAACAGTGGGACCTGTGGGCATCCTACACTGATACCAGTCATGGGTGGGGGATCTGTCAACATCTCCTCCTTAAAAGTGCCATAGTCCCAGGTTTCTGTATTCCTATGACTGTTGAGGACATTCACATCAAGCAGTAAAGGCCATGGGTGAGCCCAGCAGAGAGGCCTAGAAAAGGCTGACCCAGAAAGGGACAATTGACTTCCCCCAGGGAAGGTCAGGAATAGGTATGCAGGGATCAAGCAGCTGCTTGGCCACAAAGATGATCCAGAGTTGAAGAAAGACCAACACAGACAGGCTTCCTTCAATCAGATAGCGTATGGGGCAAAGCAAGTACCTGGATAAACTTCTCCATGTCTCCTCCAAAGAGTCTCTGGTTATACTGGGAGGTAGGACGGGGGTGGCGGTTCTTCTGGAATTTTCTCTGTGTGTATTGACTCCTGTGGTGAATGGGAGTCAAGTAAGGGGCATAGGCATGGGGAATAGGATGCTGCAGCCCAGCCCAACCAGACCCTGAAACTCCCAAGTTATTCCAGAAACCACTGAGACATTTAGGCCACAGGGGACTGGGCAACAGAGCTAGACCCCAAGGAGAGAGGTGATGGGAAACCTTAGAAGAAGCCAGCATCTCATGAAGGACTCACCAAGACATCTCCCGCTCTTCCTTGTCACCTGAGGAAAAGAAAATGCTGGTCTGCCTCTCAGACCAGGAAGTCTTGAATGAGCCCCAGAGAAAGGAGGCATGGCCTGAAGCTCAGGTGCTCAAAGGGCCAGGGGTAGGAGAGAGGCCAGGACCCTTATTGGGTTAGCTCCTCTGGGCAGGGAGTAATATGGGCTAGATGGGGGTCCAGACAGGGCAGAGGAGAGCAGGGGTGGCTCCTAGCCCAGGGGTGGGGAAGAATGGGCAGGGGCCTGCACCAGAGCCCACCTCGTTGTAAGGCCTCCTGCAGCTTCTCATGCTTGGCCTGAAGCTTGGCAAGGACACTCCGTCCACTTAGATATTCCTGGAGCTTCTGGAAGCCCCAAGAAGAGCTCAAAGTTTAAGAACTGTCTCCATAACTGTACCCAGCCCTGCATGCCTCTCCCCTGCCCACCCAGCCCCACCGTCATATAGAAGGTCTCTGTCTCCTGTTGCTGTCCCCGTCTCCGGCCTGCCTGCCGAGTGCCTGGGTCTGAGCTGGTGGACTTGAGGGACTCGGTGGAAGGACTAGCCTGGAAAGAATCGAGCATGTCCCCATCATCTGATGCTACCACCTCTAGCAGAGCCTGCAGCGTTGCCTTCAATGTCTTGTTCACCTGAGGCAGAGACAGTACCAGGACAGTAAGAAGTCAGGGAGAATAAGCTGAAGGACAGGAAGTCCAAGTTAGCAGGAAGGACAGATGAAGAACACTGCCAGTCGGGAGGTTGGTGGCAGAGCAGCTGACCCCACAAGAGGACTCTAGAGTCTCCAGACCCCTGTACCCACCCAGGATGAGCCACTCATACCTCCTCTGTCTCAATGGTCTGTCGGTCCAGACGACTCTGGATATTCTGGGCTCTGGGCAGAATCTCGTCCCGCAGCTCCATCTCAACCCGGATCTCAGCCACCTGCAGAGGGCAGTGCCAGAGGCTGAGGGCTGAGCCTGGGGACGAAGCTCGGGAGTAGCAGTAGGAACAGGCAGCAGGTGCCAGGATCTCTAGGGCCTAGGAGAACCAGGCACACTTCTGCTGCCTGGTGGCTGACTATGGGACCAGCAGCCCTTGACACTTAAACTAAAGAATGTTGAAGTATCTCCCCCAAGATAAAGGAATGCATCCATCCACACCAAGACTTGTCTACAAAGGTTTGTGGCAACATTGTTCATAATAGTCCAAAGCTGGAAACAATGCAAGCTTCTATCAACTGGCAAATGAAGAAAAGGGATATCATTCAGCCACAATAAAGAATGAAGCTGGGTGCAGTGGTGCATGCCTGTAATCTCAGTGGCTTGGGAGGCTGAGGCAGGAGGATCGTGAGTTCAAAGCCAGATTCAGCAAAAGCGAGATGCTAAGCAACTCAGTGAGACCCTGTCTCTAAATAATTTTTTTCTAAAGTGCTGGGGATGTGGCTCAGTGGTAAAACACCCCTGGGTTCAATCCCCAGTATCAAAAAAAAGAAAAAAAAAGAAAAAAAAAAGAAAGAATAAAGTATTGATCTGTGCTACAACCATTATCTGAGTGAAAGAAGCCAGACAAAAAGGGCCACATAGGGCTGGGGATGTGGCTCAAGCGGTAGCGCACTCGCCTGGCATGCACCACATACAAAGATGTTGTGTCCGTCGAAAACTAAAAAAAAAAAAAGGGGGGGGCATATATCATATAAATATATTTACCTAAAACGTCTGGGCAGGCAAATCCAGAGAGACAAGAAGCACATAGGGGGTGCTGGGGGTGGGGCCCAGGTGGGAAGTGACTGTACAGGTAAGATTTCTGTTTGGGTGATGAAATTGTTGTAGAATTAGATGGTAAAGATAGCTGTGCAGTCTGTGAAGATACACTTTGAATGACTAAATGCTATACCTCAATTAGCTGCTGATTTAAAACTAAGGGTAGTGAGGAGGACTGGAGCCTGAGACAGAAGGAGAAGGCCCAGCCAGATCTCTCCTGGGGAAAAGAGAGGACAGAAAAATCACTCACTGTAATTGGACAGTATAAGAGCAGCCTGCTTCCTGGGCATGTGGGGGGATAGGAGGAGAAAGCTTTAGGAAGTGAGGAATTCCCTTGAAAGGGAAGTGGAACACATGCTTTGCACACACAAGGCCCTGGGTCCAACCCCCCAAAACCCTTTAGAAACACATAAAATAAACATGTATGCATCCAGAAAAGTCTGGCGGGGAGGAGAATTGGAACTTGTTTAATGGCACCAAAGTTTTAGTGTGTGAAGATGAACAGGTCTGGAGATGGATGGTGGTGATGATGGTTATACTACACTGTGGACATGCTCGATGCCACTGACCTGTGTACTTAAAGAATGGTTGACATGGTGGTGGAATGAGATGGACATCATTACCCTAAGTACATGTCCTATGAAGACATGAATGGTGTGACTCTACTTTGTGTACAACCAGAGACATGAAAAGTTGTGCTCTATATGTATAATATGAATTGTAATGCATTCTGCTGTCATATATAACAGATTAGAATGAAAACTAAGATAAGATAAAGGTAAAATAAAAGGGGCTGGACTTGTGGCTCAGTGGTAGAGCACTTGCCTTGCATATGTGAGGCACTGGGTTTGATTCTCAGCCCCACATAAATAAATAAATAAATAAATTAATTAATTAATTAAAATTTTTTTTTTACAAAAGGTAAAAAAAAAATGGTTGATATGGTAAAATTTGATCTTGTGGATATTTTACCACAACTTTTTTGTGGTACTAGGTATTGAAACCAGGGGTGCCCTACCACTAAGTTGTACCTTTTACTTTTATTCTCCTAGTACTATGGATTGAACCCAGAGGTGCTTTACCACTGAACTACATCCCCAACACCACCTCTCTTGTTTTTGAGACAGGATCTCACTAAGTTGCCCAGGCTGGCTTCCAACTTGTGATCCTCCTGCCTCAGCAGCCACAATTTTAAAAAAAAGTCTACTTAGGTCCTAGGAAACATTGACATTGGCTCCTTCCCCAAACCCACACAATTAGCAGAAAACTAGACATTTCCTCTCTGGACTCAGGGACACTAATCACAGCTGATGAGGAAGGATGAAACTGCATCCTGATAACTTAGTGAAGACACAAATAAGCCCACCCTGGAATTCCATGTGGCAGACAAGACAAAAGCAAGGACTTTGTCCATGCCAGAAAATCTCCCTCAGTGCTTGCCGACATAAGTGACTGCTGCTTCCTCACAATAGCAGCCATATCCTCCTTTTACTGCCTCCTTCCTGATAAAATTTATCAAGTCACTAGATCACGTAGTTAGCCCTGCTCTCTGACAGCACTCAATGCACAGCCAAGTGCTGCTTCCTCAGAGGCTTCCCAAGTCCCTTAACGCATGCCCCAATGCCACTGGTCCTTTCCACACCTCTCCCTGAGATGCCTACCCCCTGATTTTCCATGGAGTAAGTCTCCTCACAGCAAGAAGCAAGAAGCCCAAAGTGGCCACTACAGAGATATTCCTGGTGGGCTTTGGCTGGGGGCATGCAGCTACATCTGGGTTCCTTCAAGTGAGGTCCCCAGAGCACAGTGGCCAGAAAAACTCCTGCTCAGGGGAATTGGCCAGTCCAGGAAGAAAAGTCCACAGATCCCCACTACTTAGGGATTTCCCACAACAAAATGAGTCCTTATCCAGTCACCAGAGGGGAACAATCACTATTGAGAAGCTCTGCTCATACATGCGAAATATGGGCTCTAGCCCTCAGTGCCTCCTCTTACTATGAACTGACAGTTAAGAATGGCCGGGTATCTGTAGGAAGCTGTAAAATGGAAGACAATGACCAAAGCAAGCTTTTTAAAAAACTTCAAGAAAACAGAGGAAATCCAGGGAACAGAGAATAATGTTGAGAAACCATTAATAACTAGTTTACAGACATTCAAGAAGATAACATATCTACAAAACAAGAATAAAGCATTATTTTACGCTGAGTGCAGTGACACATGCCTGTAATCCCAGTGACTCTGGAGGCTGAGGTAGGAGGATCAAACGTTCAAGGTCAGCCTCAATAACTTAGCAAGACTCTGTCTCAAAATAAAAATAAAAAGGGCTGGGGATGTGGCTCAAGCAGTAACGCGCTCACTTGGCATGCGTGGGGCGCTGGGTTCGATCCTCAGCACCACATAAAAATAAAATCAAGATGTTGTGTCCACCAAAAACTAAAAAATAAATATTAAAAAATTCAAAAAATAAAAAAATAAAAATAAAAAGGGCTGGGAATGCTGCTGGGTTCCATCCCTAGTACCCCCCCCCCAAAATTTTTTTTTAATTTTTTTAATACTTATTTTTTAGTTTTTGGCAGACACAACATCTTTGTTTGTAGGTGGTGCTGAGGATCGAACCCGGGCCACACACATGCCAGGCGAGCGCGCTACCGCTTGAGCCACATCCCCAGCCCCCCCAAAAAAAAATTTTATGAAAATTTTTCTACATAGAGTACATGGAAAGCTACCTAGCACCCAGTGGCAAAGTTAACATGCCTTCGCCCAAGTGGTGTGCATTGGTTTGTGGGTGCCCCCTGAGTAAGGTGCATGTACCCTGAGGCCATGGAACAAGGAATTGAGCCATCAGGACCAGGTGGTGCTGGGGATTGAATCCAGGGCCTTGTGCATGCAAGGCAAGCACTCTACCAACTGAGCTATATCCCCAGCCCAAGCTTCCATTCTTTGGCAAAGTGCAAATCCTGCAAATCCTGCAACTGGCCTGTTAAAATGAAGACCAGAGAACTCAAAGCCCTTAGCAACCATACTTGGGGCATTAATGGCAGGGTCACATGAGCCTCACCTCATCACCCTCATGTGGCTGGTAGTCAAAACGCAGTGGGGGACAGAAAGCCATTGAGTGCACCTCAAGCACCTTGGCTTTGTCCCCTGAAGGATCCAGGGCCTCCAGAGCTTCTTCCAGGCTGCCCAGGCCCTGCATCTGGGAGGCTTGGGTGCGGCTCTCTGCAGCTGTGTAGCTCCGGAGCACCTGTCCCAGGGCCAAGTGGAAGCCTGTATCACAGCACTGTGGAGAAGCAAGCGGACACTCAGGTGGGCCTAGAGCCATGGCCCTTGAGCCCCAGTGTGTGGGACTCCTCCCACCCATGCACCTGCCCAGGACTCACATCCATGAGGTCCAAGACATCATGCAAGTAGTAGTTGCTGACGGCGGCATTGACACTGGCCAGGCTGAGCAGGTACTCATTGCGTGCCTTGGTGCACTTGAGTTTGTGTTCCAAGAATTTGGCCTGACGCTGCTCAAGACAATGGGGTACACAGGGGTGATACATTCCCCAGCCCACCCCCATCTCTAGTCTTCCATATAGCCCCCTTGACTCACCTCCCATTGTGTCCCACGGGCAAGTCCCTTAGCAAGTTGTCTTTCCCTCCTTACCTTGCAACACCTTAACTCTCAGGGATCAGTGCTTGGACCCACCAACCTTGGGCTGCCCAGCTGAGCCTGACTTGACTTCCCAGTTCTTTACCAGCTACTTCTAGTCCACCCCACTAGCTCTCTGTGAATCTGCCTGTCACCTCTATTTAGGCCCTGACCTGCTTCACTGTCATTTCTCACAGCCAAGGGGGAGGACAACACACCAGATATCTAATAAATAAAAGGCCCAAACATCCACCCTCCATAATGGAGGTGGGAGCTAGGGTGGGAGGACCTGGAGGATACACAGGAAATTCCACTTGGACCCAACAGGGGGACTGAAAAGAGGAAAAGGCACACACTGTGTAGAAGGGACTAGACCAGTACACTCAGTCCCAGCCAGCATGGGGCCTCCTTCCTGGCATTTCATACCCTCCCCATTCTCTCTTTGAGATCACCTCGAATATCCTTTCTCCTTGCACGTCACTTTAATCACTCATCCTGAGTCTTTTGACCCCCCTGACATCTCATGGGATGGCTGGGAGGAGAGATCCCCAGCCCTGGCAACACCAAAGCTCTCTGTACTCTGGCAGGGATGTGGAGGCGGGGGCAGCTTGGAGCATGGGGGAACTGCATTGGGCTATCCTGGGTCCTGTGACTGTCCTTCCCCCTCTGTGTCTCAGGCCCATGGAGCTTTCTGTATGTGATCCCTATGGCTTTGTCCTGCCACTTCTGCCCCTAGCTTGGGGAACCCCTCAGAACCAGGGACAGGTGACTGGGCCAGAATCCATCCTTTACAGGAGGTAAGACTCTTGCTGGAGGCCTGCAGCTCCCCCTCCCCCCAGCAGATCCCAGGAAGAGCCAAAGGTTTGCAGGGATGAAGGCCAGGAACCCTCCAGGCCCACCTTCTCCACCAGCTTTCCCCCCTTCTTGAGGGAGCTCTTGCGGAGTGGCCCTGTCTCAGAGGTGGTGCTGGTGGTGGTGGCAGCAGGGGCACTCCGGCCTGCCCGCTTCTCCTCTTGCCGCTCAGCTTCCCGGAGCTTCGCCTCGGCATTCATGCTGTCTACATGATACACCTGGTACGTCTTCTTGGCCTGCAGGGAGGCAGCCCTGCTGAAGGGCCTGGCCGCAGCCAGCTCCTTCCCCATCCCAGCCCATCTGGGACTTGGACCTGGGATCTGGGCAGTTCCACATGAGCACTTAGTCTAACCACCCTATCCCCAGAGCTGAGAAGGGGCCTTGCCCACAGTCCCCCAAATTCAAGTCTCCCCTGGGCACCACATTCTCCTTTAGCCTGATTTTGGGAGATGCGACAGCTTGGGGGTGTTCTCGCCTTCAACTGGTGTCTCTCCCTGGGCCACTGGGGTGGGCCTCGCCCCTGCCCCATCCTTTACCGTCTGCAGCTCTGAGACCACTTCCAGCAACTCATCCTGCAGCTGTTGCACCAAGTCCTTGCTCTATAGGTGGAGGGGGGAGTAACCATAGCACCCACCACAGTCCTGGATGAACCGCCCCAGCTCAGCTGGGCACAAGCCTGGCTTGAGACACAGGTCCCCCTGCCCAATACCCACCAGGCCTCCTGTGCTTCCAGCCACAGTGCCACCAGATCAAGCCCCCACAGGCTGCCCCTGCTAGATCCTGATGGCCCCCAAACCTCACATAGCCCAGGGCATGAACCCTACCTTCCTGACAATGCGCCCCACATCCTCTGCGATGTGACTCAGACGCTGAGCCAGAGGCCCGGCCAGCACTTCGCTGAGGGCCGCACTGTCCCGGCTCTGCTGCCGTGTTTGCTGCAGCAACACAGCCCAGCAATGCAAGGAGGACAGTAGGGACGGCTCCTTCCTGGGGGTAGAGAAGCACTCAGACCAGGGTGCCTGGCTCCAGGGTCCTGTTATGGCATCTCGTCCAGTGCAGCACCTACCGGAAGCTTTGCTGCTCCCGGCTGTTGCCCCCCAGGCGGCCTCCACGGCTGGCAAAGCGTTCGGCCAGCTTGTCCAGGCCTCGGGAGTACTCCAGCTCCACCTCGGCGCGCCGTCGCATGAACTCGGCCAGTTCCTGCAGCAGCTCTCTCCGCAGCTCGCCCTGCAGCTCCAGGCAGCGCAGCTGCTCGCTCAGCTGCCAGCGCATCTCTGCAGGGGACCATGGCTCAGGCCTGGCCAGCAAGTGTGGCCACCTCATCTGCCCAGAAACCTCCTGCATGTCCGGGCTAGGCTAAGACTAAAGCTGAGAGGAGGGAAGGGGTAGCCCTGAAGAAGCTGGGCTCAAGGAAGCCTCCCGTGGGCAAGGAGCTCTGTGCTAACGTGTGTCCCAGCAAGCGGGGAGAGCCATGCAAAGGCCCAGGGGTGAAGGCAAGCGTGGCAGCTCCAGGAAGGTTGAAGCCATCTATGACTGGCAGAATACAGGGCCACTTCAGCTCTGTCTTGCCCCATTGCCAGCCAGGCGCCTTTCAATTTGGCTTCTTATCCCTGTTTGGTTGCTGGAAAGCCCCCAATGGTTTCCCCTGCCACTTCCTTCCCCTCAGGCACCCAGGATTCCAGCGCTACAGCTTCTCTTGAACAGATACACACAGATACATGGAGCTGCTCAGGGGTGAGACCGCTGTGGCACTCTGTCAAGCCTCCAATGAACTCATGGCCTCAGTGGCCAGGGAGCCCTGTCCTTGAGCCCCAGGGGAAAGGGCAGTCTCATAGAAAATGGTTAGCTGATCCAGGCTGATAAGTGATGGGACAGATCCTACTCTGGATCACCCACCCCAGGGCTTCTCCCTACCCCTGCAAAGAGGAGAAACACACCCCGGGGGCCCCCTTGCTGGCCTCCGGACAGCTTATCGCTGGCTCAATTGGGCAATGCTGCTTCCCCCACACAGACAGAAAGCTTAAGCAACTCACTGGCTGTACTTCTGCCCCCACGGAATGTACAGGTGGACACTAGGGATCCTGAGCAAAAAAAGTCACTGTCTTGGCTGCCATTGCACCAGTGTCTGTTCGTGCTCCCAGGGGCAGGACACTAATTCATCTCTTCACTCAGAAGAATGTGATTTCCCACCCATTCTGTGGCAGACACATCTTAGATACAATGGTGAAGAGGACTGACTGAGTGCCAGCCCTCCTGGAGCTGGGATTAGAGCAGGGGGACAGAGAGCAAAAGGACACATTCATCCTAGAATGTCCAGGAACAACAGGTGATGAGAAGAAAAGCACACAAGGCAGGGTCAGAGGGCAAGTCTGAGAAGCAGGAGTGGGGGTGGGGTGGGCAGATTCCCAGAGCCCATGGTCCAGGGAGGATTTCCAGCTGGACCTGAGGGAGAGGGGAGTTTCATTTTTAGGGCCCTCTCTGGCCGCCATGTGGAGCCTAGCTGGTAGCTACTGCACTAGCCCAGGCAAAAAATGGCAGGCCTCAAGTGGCTGTCCAACAAGACTCCATTATTAACAGGTTGGTACAGGTGGGTTTCTGTGCTTCTAGTGACTTCCCAGGGACTGTGGAGCAAGCGGCCTTGGTGGGTTTCACCTGCCCAGGCATCTTTATCTCCTCCAATTTCCTCTTGCAAAATGTCTCATCCCAGTCCTCAGCCCCCAGGTTTGGGCAGGATCAACCTCTCTCTCCCTGGAGCCCCAGATCAACTGCATGTGTCAGTATCCCTCAGTCCTTCACACCACTCCCACTGGCCTGACTTGGGGAAGGGCCCAGGGGTCATAACCCTGACCATTTATTTCACTGAAATTACTGAGCAGGAGCACTCTCTTTCTACCAAGGGGTCAAGCTGGGCAAGTGGAAGCCTGGAGTGGGGAGGACTTCCCAACAGTGAAGCCAGTACAGAATAGGCCAGAGCTCACAGCATGATGCCATGTAATTTAGTGGCAATGGTTAAGAAACCTCCTGCTTAACCATCTCAGCCAACCTCCATGGCTGATGTGCACTATGTAGGCACTAATGCCATGAGCTCAACCAGGAGAGTTTTCATTTAATCAGGATAACATTTTTGAATAGAAGTAAATTTAATTGCATTCCAAGCAAGGTTTTCAATGACCCAGCTGGCCTCGCCTTCCCTCCAGCACCTGTCCTGCCCTCTGGGAGGACTATGTTCCCTGGGGACCTATCACAACTGAACAGTGCTGAATGGACCAGCCGACCACAGCACTGCATTTATTCTTTGCTGCCACCAGCAAAAACTGATCAGAAAATCACACCCCATCAGGATCCAGACATGCACACTGGCTGGTGTCAAGTAGCCACAAATGGCAAGCCAACTGCATCTGAAGTCCACAAGAGTACAAGGAACTAGTGCCTAGCCCCCAGGCTCTAGGCTGTGCTATCAGAGCATGCAGCTTGCAACTCAGAGGACCTTGTCCTGACCTTCCTGCAAGCAAGGTTTGGCCCCATCCCATCCCCTTTTGCTATAGTTATTATCATATTGAAAATAATTATGCACTGGCTTGTTTACTATTTGTCTCCTCTACTGGACCCATGAAACATGTGCAGGCAGGAACTGGTTCTTTCTTGTACAGCATCATATTCCTAGTGTCTGACTCAAAACAGATGTATACAAAACATCTGGCAAAAGGAGGGACTGAATCCAGAATCACATATGTTTGAAATACAAAGCTGAGCCTGGGCCCCATCAGCACTTCCTGTAAGCAAGGCCTTCGCTCTCACTTCTGCTGACAAGAGAAGTAGAAGAAAAGATGGCCTCCCAAACCACGGTTATGCTGATCTTTCAGAATTTAGGGTGTCAAGACAGGGACCCTGTTTGTCTACCATGGTTGGAGGGACTTGGGGGGGGGGAGAGTCTGGCTCAAAACTCCACTTTTTCAGTGTGAATAACTGACCCATATTGAAGAGTTTTCAAAGTTCTTCAGTTTCATGACATTTTGAGGGAGTAGGATGAGGATTACTGAGAGGTGGTGAAGGCTCACCCACTCAGAAATCACCTCTAGCTGATGCTAGACACCAGGTGGCCTCTCCCAGAGTGGAAGGACTAGGGCACACATTGGTATATATTGCTTGCATTGAATAATTATACTGGAACCACCACAATCAGGTTGGAAGACACTTCAAGGGTCATTCAATCTACCTCTTGAGAGCTATTGTGCTGTGTGCCCATGGAAAGTCACAGTACCTCTCAGGGCTGTTACCACAATAGGTAAACTGGGGTGACAGAGTGAGGATCAGGCACTGGAAAGCAGCAGGGAACTGCTGGCCCTTACATGCTGTCTTCTTTCCTTTGCAAGAACTACCATGCCCTGAATTAATAGAAACTGTCGCTGAGAGTTTGCAAAGCTGATTTGCACGTGATTTGCACAGAGTGTTTATCAGAAGAGGTTTCATTTGTAAAACCAGCCCTGTTGACTCTCCCAAGCCAAGATTCACAGCACCAGCCTGACCCAGAGGCAGCCGCCCCCACCTGAGCTCACTCGATGCCAAAGGGAGGCAAAAGTGTTGGGACCTGGGATGGTGTTAGGGAGACGTGACCACCAACCCAATCAAGCTACTCACGCGACGCTCTTACCCGCAGCACCCTCCAGCAGTCAAGGTGGCCAGAAACACTCTAGCGGGGATGCCACCTTTCCAGTCTCTCCTCCCTCAGGCACCAGGGATTTCACTGCTCCCTGGGTGAGGCGCAGGGAGACCCATTTCGGGCAGACTGACTGACACAGGCGGGTGCTCAGGGCGAAGGGACCCACTACGCGGGCAGGAGCTCGGGCTCCCTCCACCTCTCTCCTGAGGACGCTTCGGGCTCCACCACGAACTGGGGGTCTCCGCCCCTCTCACCTTTCACTTGCGCCTCGTACTCGGCCTGCAGCCCCCGTTCCCGCCGAAGCTTCCCGTGCGCCGCCATGGCGGCTGGGCTGCCGCGCCGTCGAGCCCGCTGCTCCCACGCGGCGGCAAGCGGCCGGGCGCTGCGACCTGGGGCGCCACAGCCAGCACCCTGCGCCAGCCCCGCCCCGCCCCGCCCCCTGCGCGGTCCCCGGCGGGGCGGGGCGGGGCGCTCCTGGCCGGACTTTGCGCCGGGGGCTCCCTCCTTCTGAGCTCGCGCCCCGCCGCCGCCAAGCAGCTACCAGATGCCAAGCAAACTGGCACCCCCTGCCGTCTCCGCCCCCAAAAGGCAGTCTTTGGTCGCCACTGGCCCTCAACAGCAGTGGACAGTACACCATAGCTGCTCTGGGCTGAGCCTCCCCCTGAGTTGCCTGTTCCCCCAGCCTCCCTGGACATCCCGTGAAGTCCTTCCCCTTCTAAGTCCCAACCCAGAGAGAGGCTTAAGGAGCTTGGAAAACTGGAGTGGGAAGTTCTGCAGCCAGCCTTAGGCCTTCCTTCCCTCCAGGCAGGTCCCTTGCTGGGGGAGGGAGCAGGGTTCAACTGTGGTTCCCCTTCTGCTCAACCCCGTAGGGAGGAACAACCCTCATTTCCCCATAGGTGGTTACCACTTCCTGCTGCCGGAAGACACTCTCCTGCCTCCTTTCCCCAGCAGCTTGCACCTGCCCTAACCAAGGCCTGGCGGGTAACCCCCTCAGAGCTAGGTTTTAGCCAGCCTGGAGACAAGTCCTGGGGCCTCCGTCATCCAGGGATGATGGGGTTTCCCTCCATTCCTCTGTAACAACTCTGTGCCATAGGGCAGCAGCTTTTCTCCAGTAAATTGGGAAGGCAGGTGGCAGGTAGTGACAAGCCAGACTAGACTACTGTCTCTCTTTAGTGGGAGATAAATCCCTGGGGTATAGGCCGTGGGAGAGAGGCAAAGCAGTTAGGCAGTGATTGTCTCCAGACAGGAAGGCCTGCAGGCATTAGAGCAAGGGGTCCAGACATGTGTGCATGGATGTCAAAATGCAGGTATGGGTCTGGTACAGTGATACATCTGCAATCTCAGCTATTGAGGAAGCTGAGGCAAAAAGGACTGCAAATTCAAGCCCAGTCTAGACAAGCAAGACCCTGCCTCACATTTTCTAAAAAAAATGACTGGGGGTAGAGTGCTTCACTCCCAGTACTAGGGGGAAAAATGTACTTGTGGATACATATAACCTTGACCTGCAGATCTGAGGGAAGGAGAGGCCATTCAGGTACTGTCTTTCAGCTTTAAGCAATAAATTCTCTTGCCCAGAGGGGGAAAATACATCCCCTCAGCTGTGACCCCCCCAACACACACACCCCTAGTACCAAAGCCTTTCTCTAAGATGCTGCCATGTGCCCACAGGACCTTGAAGAAAGACATGGGAGCTAGCCAGACTCCGGTAGGTCCAGGACCTGAACTTCTAGTAGCTGGTTTCTTTTGTTGTTGTTGTTGTTTTGTTTTGTGTTTTTTTTTTTTTTTAGTTGTTGACAGGACCTTTATTTATTTATTTATGTTTATGTGGTGCTGAGGATCTAACCCAGTGCCTCACACATGCTGGGCAAGTGCTCTACCACTGACCTACAACTCCAAGCCCCAGCTGGTCTCTTAAGTGCGAATGTTGGAGTCTTCCAGCAAAGCTGGTGAGCTTGAATCTCTTCCCACCACACACACACGCACATGCACACCTGAACCTGCTCCTGTGTTATGAGAGACCCACACACCCCACCATTGCCTCATGCTGAAGGAACCAGGCACCCATTCCCCTCATTAGCTACCCAACACATCTTGCCTGGTTTCTATGCCTCTGGGCCCTGATTGGTCCCTAAAGGTCCCTCATCCATTCAGCAGAGCCAGGCACAGAACTCAACCACATGGCTGCTAAACTGGCCTCAGCCCTTGCTTTCAAATGCTCTCCTTAGTCCTTTTTGGACTCCAGAAATATCACATTGGTGCCCCTTTCAGTCCCTGCTTCCTCTCCCCTTCTTTCTCTCTCTTTCATTGGAGATTGAACCCAGGGACACTTTACCACCGAGGTACAACCCCAGCCCTTTTTATTATTATTTCTTTTAATTTTGAGACAGGATCTTGCTAAGTTGCTGAGGCTGGTCTCCAACTTTTTAAAAATTCTTTTTAGTTATACATGACAGTAGAATCCATTTTGATATAATTATACAAACATGAATATATCTTATTCTAGTTAGGACCCTATTCTTTTTTTTTTATAATGCTAATTCTTTTTTTTTTTAAAGAGAGAGTGAGAGAGGGGCACAGAGAGAGAGAGAATTATTTTTTCTTAGTTCTCAGCAGGCACAACATCTTCGTTTGTATGTGGTGCTGAGGATCGAACCCGGGCCGCACGCACGCTAGGCGAGCGCGCAACCGCTTGAGCCACATCCCCAGCCCAGGACCCTATTCTTATGGATGTACATGATGGATGGTGGGATGGACTATGATATATTTACATATTTACACAAGAAAATTATTTCAGACTGGCCCCGACCTTGTAATCCTCCTGTTTCAGCCTCCTGAGTTCTTGGGATTACAGAGGGGCACTACCACTCCTGGCTTCAGCCCCTGCTTTGAATCCTTGAATTGAAAGCAAAACCCAACCAGCCAACCCCTTGAGTCCAAGACACTTGTTTAGCATTTAAAGCCCTGAATGAAACTGCACCCTAATGATGGCTCTATCTTTAACTGTACTGTTCCTCTACAAAGAATCCAAAAGCCAAATTATATCACATAAGGTGAGGGCCAGGACTGCAGGACCTTTCTAAACCCGTTGCATGTACATTTGGTACTGAGGGGTGATCGCAGAACTGATGTAGTTAGGTAAGATGTGAAGGTGGACCAGAGGGAGATTAAACCAATGGTGAAATTGTCACCATATATCCACATGGAAATGAGAACATGAATTAGGCAATGAGCCCCCGCTTCCCATTCCTCTGTGTCGGTTTTCCAAAAGTTTAATAATGGGGATTCAGAGGTCAAGGTTGTGCATCTTGAATGTGTATGGGTTCATCTCCTGGAGAAGCTTCCATGGAGTCCAACCCCAGCCACACAGTGAGGAGGCGGGGGACCTGCTTTCCCACCCTGTCTTCCAGCCTCTACTCATTGGCTTAGAAGCGGCCGCTCCCAGGAGGCAGATACTGCAGAGGCAGGAGAAGTATCGGGCCTCTAGGGCCAAGCGGGCCTGTGGTTTCCGTCCTCTCTTTTTCTGCCCCGCTTTATAGGTCCCACCTCCGCCCAGGAAACCTAACCGCCTGGGGGCGGAGGGGGCGGCCGCGCGTCTCTGGGCCGCTAGAGACGCAGAGGACCCAGGGCTAAGGCGTAGTGAAAGGAAAGTTCCCCACGGCGCCGTAGGAGCTACTAGCAGCTCCCTCCCTCTAGCGCTGGGGCGCGGCCGTGACAATGCGCATGCTCGCCCTCTAGTTCGTAATTGGGCCGGCGCCGCCGGACCAATCAGAGCCTGGGAACTTAGCCCACCGCCTGCTTACGAAGAGACTGACTCAGGCACGGTGGGCGGGACCAGGGGCCACTTCGACCCATACAAAGAGAAGCCTTGAAACTTCAGCCAATTAACGCAGCCTCACCCGAGCCAGCGAGCTAGGGAGAGGCCGCCGCGCGCAGGCGCCCTTAATGCCTAGGCCCTGCCCAGCTGCGCTTTACTCACGGTTTCTGCAGTTGGTCACGCGCCAGGCGCTAGCCAAAGAGGAAGTTCTGGTCTGGGTGGTGAATTATTCAGCCTGACAGGGAAGCAGCGTGCCACCCGCAATAGCGGGACCATTAAGCATAGTGACAGCTCAGGGGTGCGGAGCTCCGCTGGGATGCTGGTGGCCCAGGCAGAGCCGGCTCAGGGACTAGGAGCATCAAACGCTGGCGTTGCAGCCAGGAGGGGCAGGGAGGAAAGATGTGGGAGCTAAAATTAAGGTTAGAGTGAGGCCATGAATTGGCTCATGACTTGTAACAAATATGCCACCTACTAGAAAATGTTAATAGGGAAACAGGGGAAAAGGGGATAGGTACTATCTGATCGGTTTTTCTGTAAAAACTACAGTGGCGCACGCCTGTAATCCCAGCAGCTCCAGCTTAGGAGGCTGGGGCAGGAGGATCCAGGGTTCAAAGCCACCCTTAGGAACTTGACCCTCTCTAATAAAATTAAATTTTTTTTTGGGGGGGGAGGTACTGGGGATTGAACCCAGGGCCTTGTGTATGTGAGGCAAGCACTCTACCAACTGAACTATATCCCCAGCACCTCTAATAAAATATTTTTTTTTAAGTTGCTGAGGATGTGGTTCAGTGGTTAAGCGCCCCTAAATTCAATC